AGCAGGACTGTGGGTGGTTGGAATATCGAAATTTCGTCCGGGCCACGAATCACCGTACACATATGAAAAAACCGTGAAGTTAAATTGTGTACTGATTTCAGTCTGTGGACTTCCCAATATCCAAAGCCAAGATAGATCGACTACATAGCTTGTTTGGATGCTATATATGTTTAGATATATAGGCTAGGGTATTTCGCATACCATCAAGTGAACCCCAGGCTTGTCTGTTCTATTCTATAAAAAATGGGTTTGTGTTGGTTCTTCGTCTTCTTCTTCTAATCTTAATCGTATTGGCAGTGTTTCATATTACGAAGAAATATCACAATTGTTTACAGGAGTAGTATAAAAATACAATAATAAATCCATATTAATCCTTTACTTGAAATAAACAAATTTTATTCAAATTACCTAGAAAGCGCTTCAAACAAAAACACTTAAGGACAGTAGAGATCCAGAACATATAAGTCGCATGTTAGCAAGGATTAAGTCCTGTCAGTCGCACTAGTCTAGACAAAATAAAGAAAAAGTATCCTTTTCCAGGCAGGTGGCAGTCGATTCCTCTATAATCGTATTATAATAGGGTTCTGTGCATTTAAACTAGCAGAAAAGGCAAGCCCTAATAGTGCATTGCGTGTTTCCTAAGTAATTCAGATGTATTAAATTATGGCTAATGCTTGCGATGTTCAATTTGCTTGAATTATATAATAATATGTCTATTAGTATTGCGTTATAAATGAAAACTTAAAGGCTTACAAATTTATTTTAGACTGAAATAATGTGATATAAAATTGTTTGTACTTTACTCGATTAGTACATATTTAAACAAAACACTTTTAACGGGTTAAAAACTAAAATTAAAAAGTTAATTTTAGTTTTAACAAATTATTTTAACTATAGCCCGATGTCTCGGATGCATTGCAGCAGTTTTGATAGAGCGGAGACATCTATTTTCTCGTAGTTAGTATTTGGAGGAAATAGCTGGGACATAACTGACTCACGGGGTCCTTTACTCGGAATGCCGTTTTTTTGGAAAAAACACTAGATTGAAATGTTCGAAAGTTGCTGGATTGAAATTTTTGAATTTATTTTCGATTAAAAAAAAATATTTTTTGTATTAAGTTTTTTTGAAATATTTTAAAATTAGTTTTACCTAGAGAAATTCTTTTCATGGGAATTATTAACATACAATTTGCACGGTAAAAATTAAATCTCGCATAAAAGATCGCTAGTAACTAGTTGTTCTAACAAATTATGTAATTTTAACGGAAAAGTGATTTTTCAACACGACTGTACGCCATCGATAATGACTAACATTCTATTTACACACACAATCAATTATGCGCTCGAGTGTACATCGATTGTCTGAAACAATAGGTGAATCACGGCCCGATTGGTCAGTTAAGTGTGAATCTAATTAGCATACAAGTGAGCTCAGTGATGCCTAGGTAACTTCAAGTATCAACATTTTTTATGAGTAAACCCGACATATCTATTCATATTTAATTAAATAAAGTTTGTTTGATATAATAATTAACTTCCATTAAGCTATTTTATGAATTGCCAGATGCACGGCTTTATTGGTGAAGTGTAAAATGCCTATGCATCTAAATTATGTGCTATCGACCTATTTTCGGAAATCCAAAAATGAACTTAATCACGGTATTCAACTTTACAGCTTTAAAAGTTAAATACATATACAAAATTGTATCATATTAATTAGCTATATGTACCCTCGCTTTCGATATAACGGTCCAAATATATAACTTCCTAGCTAGCTAGCCAGCGACTTCGTCCGCTAAGAATATTTATTTTGGGCATCCAAATTCGTTTTTGCAAACCCCTTCATCTTTATAAACTTAAGCATAACCCACGACGTCGGTCGCGTTTCTTCCCATCGTTCTTACAAGTTAATGACGAAAAATTTCCCCCGTTTTGTTCATATTTTCCGTTGTATCTTCGCTTCTATTAGTCACAGCGTAATGTTTTATATATGCCTATAGCCTTAACCATAACCAACACAAAATTATTTTTTCTTTTCGAACCCGTAGTTCCTGAGATTAGCGCGTTCAAACAAACAAACAATTCTTTTACGCGAATGTCCCTGGGAAGTAGCAAATATAAACATAGACGCTTATTAATATTAAAAGAGAATATTAATAGAATCTCAAACAATGCATTTACGTGTTAAATATTAATTACCGCATCCTTGGTCCGGTATTAACAACTAACTTATTACTTATTCTATGTAGTTATGCATCATACTTAGCGATTACGTAATCTTGTATATATGCAATATGCTAATGTATTACAGATATAAGAATCTGTAGTAGTATTGAATAAAAATTTGAACGATTTAAAACGAGATTTCTGTTATACTCATCAATTTGGCTTGTGCTCACGATGGACTTTTAATATCAATAAATTAAAAACTGATTTTATTATATTTTTTGGGCATATAATACCATTCTTCTGCCTGACGGTATTACTTGTTATATCTATAGTTTTTTCTAAGATATATAAAATGATAAAGGAGCAATGTGCGGTTAAAAACCGGGTAGTGGGATTGATCCCCACCGGGTCCACATTTTTAAGTCTGGAAATCTGGATATTAAATGGGTGATAGGAATATCGGAAATTCCGCCCGGGTCAGGGACCACCGTCCACATATACAAAAAGCCGTTAATATAATCACGTTTCGGTTTTAGTCTGTGGTTTTCTGTATATCCAAAGACAAAATAGGCCGACAGCGCATCTTGTTTAGATGCTTTAGGCTGGGGTATCATCACCTACCATCAAGAGAACCCTATGCTTGTCTGTCCTTCTCTATCATAAAAAAAATGTGTAATTCGAAGGATCTTACTGACATGTAAAATACTATATTTTCGGTCTCAGCAAATAATCTTTATAATTTGTAGTTCACTTAGCACCGTCGGGTCTTAAGGAAACGAAAGGCATTACAAAGTAGACGAAAACTAGTCTGAGCCGGCTCAAATACGTAACATTCCGATGGATACTATCGGAAGTTTCCGCAAGTCGGAGCAGTTGCGAATTCACAACATTGCTTGAATATTACATTAGCTCACTTAACCGGTACAGGTAGACTTAAATATTCTACGCGATCACGGCTTGTTTCGTTTAGAAGACTGCACAATTTAAAGATGAAATAACTTAAGTCTGGACGGAAGTTACCGAGTCTAAGACGGAATATTAAAGTGAACAGCTAAAATAAATATATAATTACATTTAAATAAATACTTTTAACGACTTTAATAGCGAAATGTATTAATTAAACTTATTTAAAAAATATTTTAATTACGGTCCGACATTTGGGATGCTTTGTAGAAGGAGAGTTAGGTACATTCTCATCTCAAACTCTCATGTCAAAGAAAAATAATTTGTTATTAAGTTTAACTAAAATATTTCGTGTCGTTTATCATATAAACATGTCCTTTATCTTGTAAACTATAGACATTACTTATATTTACATTACAAAAGTTTGTGACACGGGCACGGACACGCAATCTACTAAGCTACAGAAAGCCCCGGAAAGTGGCCTTAATTCTGACCTTAATAACAAAACGGGTGGGGTTCTTTTTTTTAAATTTTAACAGATTTTTAATTTAAATAAGGGGTAACGTGTGAAAAAGGTAATGGTTCAAATGAAGGCGATAAGACTATTGTACAATTTATTTTTAGAACTTTTCTACATTCATTTGCTAGTCTGTTATATATAATTTTTTAGTATATATATAACTCATTAAAATATAATTATACTATTGTCGATAAGGATATTGAATCGTGCTTCCCGCTTTATACGTTCTTAGCTTCCAACTTAAAGCGAAACTCGAATACGAATACATTACGTAAATGAATTCTACAAATAGCGCAAAGCTCATTTAACTTATACTATTCTGGTGACATCGCAAACAGTTATAAATATTTATTCGCTAATCGTAATGCGATGCTTACATCTTAAACAGTTTTAAAAGACGATTGCTTACTACGATGAATAGTTATGCGCTTATATTACAATTTAAATTACTTTAATTATAAATCATTCGAATAAATATATCTTACGTGGCTTAGTACGAAACATCCGCACTTCTTCAATTCAATCTTCAATCTTTTTTTAAACAATAATTATTAACTCCTGCCTCGGCACAAGTGAACGGTTAGACGAAAAGTGAGATATATAAATGAATTGAAATGAGATATTTATCGCGTATATATAATTTATATTTGCATTTACAGTGACGTGTAAAACGAAACTAACTTTATCTATCACCCAAATTTATTCTGCGCGTGAGATGCCATCCAGTTAATGTCAACCAGTTTACGTAGACAACGTTACGTCTGGATACACCAACATCGATCTGTTTAAATTCGCGTTTTTTTGTAACTTTTACTGGTTACATAATTCCTTTAACTTTCGTATCACGTAATATATACAATCTGGTTACATTTAAAACTCCAGTAACTTTATGCACCTGTTTATTCGCATCGAATAGTTTTGTAAGCAATAAAAATGCACCGTCGCATTACTGCATTCTTGCAAAGGTCGGATTTAACGAGACTTGTGTTGTTAGAGGATCTTCGTATTTAAATTATGCTTCGTTGAAATATATACTTACTAAGGAAGCACGTATTCGCTCGCACGTAGTGATCGCATTGTATACAGTGTAGGACCTAGGTTGCTTCCTTGTCCTAATTTGACAAAGTTGCGTGGTTTTTACGTCTCATTGTTCTTTAGTAAGTAAACAAAATGGGAACACTGTTAATGACACAGTATGTAGTAAAGTTTGAAAAGGTTAAACTACAGTCATATTTTTGCCACATAGTAAGAACATTTTTATAAGTCTTATAATTCGTTATGGATTCTACTGTTAAATTCTTTAAAGAAACTAACTCTTTGAAATTTTTGCCATAAAAGCGATCAAATTATGATTTTAATGACAAGAACGTTTAATCATGCATTATATACAAATTATTTTACAAGTTACCTTGTGATACGTGTCTTTTTGCCAGTTTTTGATCTGTGCCATGACGTCATTGACGAGTCGATCCTTCACGCTGAGGTGTAAATCTGATAGCCTTTCAGCTTCCACCATACTGCCTTTCCAGGCTGCTTCCATTGTCCCATATTCTGGTCCTGGGCGACAAATGCAAATCTTAGAATTATGTAGGCACGTTAACATCTAATTGGGTATTAAACTTATAGAAAGCGAATCACTTGGTAAAGATAGTGTTATATCTATATATGTATCTTTTAACTAATTTATCTCAGTCTTTAGCAAACAGTATTAATTTACCTACAACAATACACGCTAAGTCATCATAATTCTACTTCCGTAATGGCGCGTGACATTCGACCTCAAGTACTTCGACCTTAAGGGGCTTCATAGACTAAGTTTCATTGGATACAGCTCAATCTAGATTTAATCTTTACTAATGACTTTGGCCACCAACAACAACTAACTGAATGAATGAGTATTATTTTATTTACGTCAAGCTTGTCAATATGCATTGCAATCACAAGGAATTTGGTATTTTTAATAAGCTTTTTTAAAAAGCATGAAAGTTTTACAAAACTTTGGATATGTTATTTTCTTTAGACAAAATAACCTTTTCAATAGCTAGATAGATACAGCATACTACATACTAGCTTATTTTAGACTTAGCATAAGAGAAAAACCAGTAGGAGCGTAATTTTTCCCCACCCCAGTTAATACATCAGTTAACACACTTTCGCTCAAAAGCTACTAGTACTAAAATGTATAAAACGTAAATACATTGTTATCAATGGTATATCGTATTTATTAGACTTTAGTCAAGGTAATCGCAAGATTAACCTCCGGCTGACCCATAAACGTTGACAGATATGTTTATAGCTTTGTAGTAGCTGTACTTAATCCCATACATTTTTATACAACTAAAGGAATTACCTTTAAATCTGTAGTATCGATGTTATCTGTGTAATCTTTTGATGAAATGTCATATCACTGTATAAGCGATAAATCACAAGAACTTAAATCAAAGTAGATATTAAAAAACTAAAATACCCAAGTAAAATACACATGAAAATGTGAAATATTATTTCCTATAGATACATTTTCCTTTTCTAAGAAAACTTACACTACCCACTCTTTCATAAATAGTTTTACTGGGCAGTTTGGAGCTGGTAAATTTGAAACGACGACTATTGGAACTCGATGTTAAACTGACTATTCCACATTTCTATTGTGAAACGAAAGTTATTTAACAAATTAAAAAAAACTCAACAAAACCGTTTTAAATCCAGCAAGCGCCAATAATTGCGGCGTACGTGTAGATTGTGACATTAACGAGCACTTTCGATTTTCGAATCGAATAAGGCATGTACGACGTGTCGAATTCGAGGCTCGTGCGGAGAATATTATCGATTTATCGAACCATTTCCTTTCATTTTCGATTGATAGAATCGATACAAACGTAAAAAACCTATTCGTCGATAATAACTTTACGTGCTATCATATAGACACGAATTATATTGATGTATATGAAATACCAAATATATAATTAGGACCTAAGTTATTTTAATTGATGTTACAACAAGCTAGATTCCAGCCAGTACTGTTCTAACCTCTCTCATTTAAGTTCACCCTATTCATCTATCAAGCCAGTTAATGGCTAATTAAAGTCGAGATCTCTTTGATACACAAACAGCGTGCTCAACTGAATTTCTCCAAACAAATACATGAAGACGCTGCGTTAAATATTTATCGTGCATTACACAAGAGCTTGTTCACTCGAATACATAAGTATTCAATGCTGTTTGACAGATGGTGTAACAGAATAACTTTGCTAGGGATTGGCTTTCGTATGATGGACGAACAATTTAGATTTTTCAGTGTCATTACTCTATCAACCGATGTAATGATTAGCCTTTAGTATTTTCCGTATGCTTGCCGTTACCTCTAGTAGACTGTCACTATCTTACGTATTTTAAATTACAAACACCGCTAAACTATTAACCATGTAGCACTGCAAATAAAACCTTCGTCCATTAAATTATTACCGTGTTACAGCTTAGATTTAAATATCGTAATATGTCGGTGTATTGCATCTACTAAAAGGAGTGATAGCATCTCCGCATAAGTGTGAATACCTTATTAGGTAAGGCGACGTTAATTGAAAGTTGCGGCGATAAGATTGCGATAGAAATTATCGGAGATCAGTGCTTCCGCTACTGTGTTAAACGATCGTTACTTTTAATGAAGTGATAATCGTCATATCGTCATAGGTTTGTGTGTAGCTTAAGAATATCACGCAAGGTTTTAAGATTCACATGTCTTCAATCGAAGTGTCAACAAAACTATATAGAAATATTATAACTGTATTACAATTTGAAATTATTTATTACATTTATTTTACAATGACAATTATTTAACTAAGTTGTTAGACGTGTTTTTTTTAATCGGTATATTTAAGATCTTTTTGCGTTTGGTGACTATTGGTTTTGTTTTAGTACTATTCCTTATTTATAATTGCCTAGCAGTTAATATTCTAAGACTATAACTGAGGACGACAAAATATATTTAAAACCACGTTACCTTTTAGTAATCGTGTCTTTGTTATTTTATTAATTTATCTTTGCAAAACGCACAATCATAAGAACCTTTCATTTAAGGTAGAGTGCGACTATTGTAGTTGTAAGTGCAGATTCGTTATCGCTGTAATTAAGGACAAATGATAATTGATCAGCAAATTATGCAACAAGTGGGTCGCATGCAATGGAATTAAACGCTGCGCTTGAGTGAGCATTGGCGATAGGAACAAGACAGAACATGGTTTCAGGACGATATTATGGTCATGTATTGAACAGTAATTATAATCGTTAGTAGTAGATTTTTGTATGAGCTATGCATCTCTAGTCACAATCAAACTATGGAACGGTTCGTCCATTTTAAATGTCAAAGACATGAATGAAAATTGGATTTAATTTATTTATGTATTCTTTGACATAAACAAGAAAGATTTTTATAGGTTTATATCTTAACCTTTCTGCCATTAGGTAGAATATTAATAAAAGGTTTTTTAACAATCACTGTTGTATATTACTATTTTCCCGACCGATTGTGAAGGTGTGATAATGTCACCCTGGTTTACTTACGACGTAATCTAGACGTAGAGAGATATAGCGAACAATTGATAACACGCACTTAACTTAACTCAACACTTACTTAATACAAACATGAATTATTAATAAAATACTATGAAAGACAGTTAATATTTTTGAGTATATGTGGCATTTCCTACTTAACCAAATGTTTTGCGATACCTTAAAAAGTAAAGACCAGTAAGTGTATATTGCAATAATAAGGCAACAATTAAAACGAAAGCCATGAATCAACATTAAGAACAGCTATCAAATATTCAGGGGAACAGCAACAGATAACGGGAACATAAATCACTCGACCTTGACATTTAGGTGCGCTGGGCGATGCAGGTAAATTGTTGTTATATAACAAAGAATTCTTCATAGGAAACGTTACAAGTATACTACAAGCAACTTTGTATGAGTCAAAATGTGTTTAATATTAACGTTGGATATTTATTTCCATATAAAGAGTAGACCGTTAGTTTTAATTATCTACGCCTACACATAGAGGTCTACAGAACTAAGCTGTAATGAATGGAGCTTGAAAATACGAAATCCATTAATTTTTTTAATCCATGCTATTTTTAATAGGACCTATAAGGTCCCATTAAAAAAGATTTATGACTACGTATATTATTTTTATTTATCTTTCTGTGAGGGGCTTTTATCACCACGAGGCTACCCTCATACATCAACGATGGTTCAAATAGAGCTTAATGAATTTCCTATATACAAAAGCCTATTGGACCGATAGTGGGGGCCCCACTGATCATGAGTGCTTATATGAATACATTTGAACTTCTGCGAAATCAATTATCCTTTCGCTGCTTTCATGTTATGTTCTATTCACTTATTAATTCGGTAGGTCCAGCTCTTCAGGATATAATACATTTTATCGGTTATTAAAGAAATTGTCATACTTAGTATGAAATATTTTCCCTTGATGTTAGGTGAAACATCCCAGCAATCTAAACAAGATGTGCTATCGCCTTATTTTGGCTTTGGATATTCGTAAATCCACAGCATAAAACAAAAACGGGATTAAACTTGACAGCTTTTTCATCTGTGGACCCACATTGCTAATAATATGTTTTGCCTGTACGCAAAACGAGAAATCAAGCTAATTGATTTAGTATTTAGGTCACATCATTCACCACATGTACCTGGTATTGTTAAATTTCTATTTTACGTTAAATTACAAACCTTTCTCGATTAAGTCGTTCCATTTCTTGGCCCAGCCTCGCAAACTCTTCGCGTAAGTCTTCTCGATCTCGGCGCGTTCCTGAACGAGGGCCTGGAGCTCACTGCAGAGCCGGTGCCCATCGTCAACTCGCTTGGTGGTGCGTTTGTAGTTACCAGGCTCCCAGAACGAATCGGAGGTAACTGTAAGGAGCGCTTGCTCGTCGCTGTGGTGCGACATGGCGGTGCGACACTCACACACCGCCCCTCTGAAACAAGAGAAGTGCCTGTTAACCATTTCTTAACTCCTAGTATTCGATTTAATTCCTTATGCATAAGCGATTTCTGTCATTCTTAATATTTTGCACTATCTACATACGCTAAAAATGTTTGTATAATGAATGTAGATATTTGAAGATAAAGATCACAAAAATTAAAAACGTATTCTAGGTTTAACAAAATATATCACGCAATAAGCAATTGCATAGCGCGAGAGGTGAAGCATATCAGTGGGTTGAAAAAAATCGACGATGACGTATAGAACACGGTAGCTCTTGCAATGGTTAGAGCAACGCCACGGAACGCTGGGGGCCCAGTTCAAATCCGTGTCGTATTTTTTTTTAATCCAAAATAGATTTTTAATCTATATGATGCCGTCATGTGCAAAATATTTTAACATTCCGTGACTAAATTATAACGTCAGCAGTAAAGTGAATAACTGTTTAAATCAATAGATTTTGTATCCCCTTAAAAAAAAAATTTTATTGTATAATGAATAATTTCAGATTAGTATAATAGCATTTCAGTCGCTACAAAAGCCATCGTCGTAATCACGTCAAAATAAATACTTTATCTTGCGTCTTAAATTCAACCAACGCCAGCATAACGTAATTTCTACACGTCGGTACAGATGGACGTGCCTGCACATGATGCATAATAGTTTATTTATGCAAATTGTATTGATATTATACGACGCAACTTTCCGAGCTATTGGAGAGAACGAGCGTGTTTCAAAACGACTATGATATAATTGGTGTAATATCGATTCAGCGTAAGTCTTATTACGTGTTTACTCATCAATGAATCAATTATAATGAAACATTTCAGGTACTATTTAATAAAATCTACAATGGCTTTCAATTAAAATTTGTTTTAAATAAAGATAAGCAGTATACTTCAATTCGAGTACTGGTCCTGTCCGGTTTTTTCAACGTACAATAGATTTTTCATTGATGGATGTCTGAAGTTCGTATGAATGTACTTGTTAGGTTAACAAATACTAAGACTTAAAATGTCCGTAGTTTTCAGTGCATATTAGAAAGTTCGCAAAATGTACAATATTAATGAGTAAATACTGTGTCTATTGGTATTTTTGGATGAGTGATAAATATGTATCTTATGAACCACCGCCTACGGATGAAAACACCGTGAAGTTTAATCGCGTATCGGTTTGAGTCTGTTGATTTACTAATATCCAAAGACAAAATAAGTTGACAGCGCATCTGTTAGATATCATATGACTGGAGTATTTTCCTTCCATGAAGTGAACCCATGCGTGTCTGTCCTTCTCTATCAAAAACAAACAACGACAAAGAGATTACGGTTTAAGAAAACCACACTTTCCTGAATATATATTGAATAGGCATAATTTAACAAGCTCATTAACGATTATAAACTAATCCTTGTTTAAACTAATAAATACAACACTCTTAAACTGTTCACGTTGCATTAGTACAACTTCAGACACTTAAAAACAACGTGTAGGCGAAGATCGGAAATTTACATAACCTTGACCAAGGTCAATGTTAGACAATGCCTTTGAGAATGCTTTGACTTAACACATCGATACTATGTTATGAATAGTGAAAAAAGCTTACATATTTCTTTCACAGATTTTGTAAACTGCATCGTTCTAGTTTTTATGGTTTTTTATTCATTTATGGTAATAAGTGTGATAAATAATTGTTTTTTTAACGTATGTATGTAGATATAGACAAATATAAGCAAATTGCTAAAGAGTAAACGCCCTTTCAGAAAACAGAAAAAGAAGATCAAGAATCGAAATCAAGGAGAGAACGTCTTGCCTGTAGACCAATTCAAAAGGAACTTATGATTGTGCCCGCCATGCAGCATGTAGGGGATGTGAGATTTCACATACGTCTGTATGTATGTAACGGGTAACGCCTGATATACAAATATATATAGACAAACAATTGACTATTCACGAGTCACTTTTATGTCACTTAGAAAAGACAATGCCGGTACTATGTTACTTGTATGTTGTATATCGTAAACGATATACTGCAGTGCGCCATAATAATATATGAGCTTGTATTGTTCTTTTCTTTAATGATGTAAATATGGACTGTACAATGTCTTACAAAAGAAATATCGTCCATTCTCGACAAAAACAAAAGCGCGTTATATTCATGACATTAAAATTTAATTACTAAGTTTTATGAAGCGTAGTTTTTATTTTTTATATTATACTCTAGTTGTATTTATGTTTAGATATAAATTTATGAATAAAACAGATAGCCACATTTGTATGTCTCACTGGTGGGAACTTTCGTGCCAATGAAAATATTATAAAAAGCTTCTCTGAAACACCTTTTGACCAAACTAGGGTTTTCATTATCAATAAGTGATTTTGGCGTGATAGTGTTTCTGTAGTAAAGATTTTTTAAAAGTTCTTCACAAATTGTTAAGGAAAAGCAAAGTAATAAAGCTATGTCATCCATTAAAATCCAACGTCCATTAAAATCTATTATCGCCCGCATTAAATTGTTTAGTCCACCTATGACAGCGTCCGTTACACATAAACGCTTGCTATGCGAATATAGCACTTAGCGCATTGTTGACTACACTTATGTCATAATTACTTCAGCGCAAACATATTAAAGGTTACATTTAATCGCTTGATACCACACCACTAGCATATAGATACAATTACATCATTCCTCGTTAGATTACAGAAAATAACATAAACAGCTTTTTTTAATGTCATTCTTAACGTGTTAGCCTTCTTGTCAGTAGTGGTATGGTGGTTTGCAATATTACAACAAAAATTATGATTCTGTGCATAGAACCTCTCTGAATAATAAAAAATACATATGTCAATCCGATACATTTGTTCTTTTCTATCTTCGCTATCACGTGTTTGTCACTTCTCATAACTTAGGGATATTGATTTTTACCAAACTTGCAGCAAAGCAGAAGCTACAAAATAAATTCTTTTCACGAAAAAGTAACTAAAGTTACTTAAACGTACAGTTTTTTCGTCATAAAATAGTGTAAGCGTCGTAACTTCCTACTTGAAAATTAACTACGCCCCAATCTTTATTGATCAAGATATATGCTTTTCTCTTACAAAAAACATATCTTATGCAATAAGTAAAAATTATTGCAGTATATTTGATGACTTACCCAAGTGTGTGCATTAAATGATGTATTTTACTGCTACACCGTCTTCCGCGTCTTCTACATCTCATTTTAGCCATGTTCACTAATTTAACTTTAATATTCGTGCAAACTAAGATTACAACTAATAGTACGTGAGCGAAGAACCTCGGATGCAAATAAACGAAACTTGCAATATGACAACAGTTACAGGAAACGAAGTGGAATTTCAACCTTGCTATATTTTTTAATAAACTCAGTGTTGTGTTAAAATGTGGAATTACTTAGTTTGATAAAAAAAAAACGAAAATTTAATCACAGGAAAGGAGGTTCTCTTTTTTTATAAATTTAACTCACAACTAATCGAAAACTGGAGTGGTATTAATTTAAAAAAAATTAAATAGAACGTTATAACAATCAGCAAGCGTAACAACGGTACTAACGAGATAAGTAAGTTAGGTCAGAAGTGAAAGAGGGACGCATCAAAAGGCTATCATTAAGTAACTCATATTAATGGAATCACCTCGTAAGCAACATTTAATACCCGCATATGTAATGGAAGATAATATGAATTGATTACAGGTTGCCGAGACGAGTTGCGTTACGGCTGCGCGCGCGCAGACCTGAACCGGTCGGCCGTCCTCTGCGTAACGACATTACGGTGATAACAAACCGAGAGTATAACGAGAATCAATATAAGCTTTCTATTCGGAATGTTTGGATTCAAATGCAGAGGGATTTGCTATTCAATTTAATAAAGTACATTCTAAATTATCAATATAAGATATTACTTACTGACAGCCATTTATTACAATTACGATTAAAAACACCATAGCTAAGGTTATATTATTTAAATCGTATGTTTGAAAGGAATCTATACAGGCCATACAGCCAGGTAGCGTACGAAAATTCGTAATGACGCAAAAACAACCAGCAAGGTTAGATAATCGAATAAAAAAAACCAAAGAAGATGTGTTACGACACAGTTACAATAATGATTAAATAACTAATAATAACTATTAGTGCTGGCTATTAATAAAATGATTTTAAATTTATGTAAATTGATTATTAACTTAACTAAAACGATTGACCCTAAAACAACTGGAATTTAAATTCGAATCAGAAGGGCAATTTAATGGTTTATTAATAAATTTATTGAGCAATTAAATTTGTTTACTGTAGTTTAATTTAAAGACATTTTTCACAAATAATTCATTACGAAATACATTGAATTTCGTAGGTACCTACAACGCCGTGGTGTATAACTACAACAATGAAAATTGTCTTTAAACAACATAAGTAGACATTATTAATAATTATCTAACCTATGACATACAACTTGAAGGGTAAATATTAAATATAGCTCTGTTTTTTATTTAAGTACATATCATAATGCATAAACACTAGTACACTACTTGTATGAAGAGAGTTTGATCTAACACCTAAGATATATGATAGTGAAAGAACGTTAATAACCTACTGAACACACCACGCAATGTGTACAAATAACCCACTTAAAATTCGACAGTCTGTATATATTTAGCTCGTGACGACAGACTAATCCGAGATTCTTCACACGATACGCAAGTAACCACACCACAAATAAACATTGGCTTCGAAGAATTGCCCAGAATTCACACCGACCACTTAAAACTAAACAAAACTGCGTAGACCTCACAAAATACCACCACTGAAACCGCGAGCACTCCGAAAAGGAATGAGACAAAGTTGTGATGATATCCAAAAAACGCTACTTAATTTTCCGTAAAATTATCCTTGCTGTTCGACTTTAGACTTTATGTGTAGATAGTTAGGTCAATGCCGGTGGCTTCGACTGAAAAACGTTTGGTTCGCGTGACCTTGTGGAGCCTGATTCACTCAGGCTTCACACGTAAGGCGCTGTTACCTAATGGAGATTTTAGTAAGGCACGAACACCAATATTCTGTATCGATTTAACGGTTTTTATCGATGTCAATAACCTTATGTTTTACAGAATCTCAGTGGGTTGAAATGTGAAATCAATATTGTGTTAGATAAATAAATGAAGCATTCAGATCGTGATCACCTTAGTAACATACGTGGTTTCAAAGCAAAAAATAAAAGCCAAGTATATTAAAATTTTACGTTAAAATCGTTTTGTTTAAAAGGCAAAAAGCCCTACCATATCAACTAGTCCTAACAACGAAGGTTAAGTAAAGAACCTGACTTAGCCAGGGAACAAACATGTTGTAATAAGTATTAACAATAATCCAAATGTGACTACAATTCGTAACAAACGCGTGAGATTAAAACACGGATTTAGACATATCTTATCATGTTTAGCCAAAATCCTGATTAAGAATATAGATGGCCTGTATTAGGATTGATGGTGATAAGCTCTTATGAGTTTTGTGTGCCAAACAGAATCAATTCTTTGTTTCTAACTGCCTCCGTGGTTTATGATTGCGTTAAGCGGGAGAGGCCCTTTATCATAATTCCGGACAGAGGCTCAGTGTTTCTGTCAAAATACGGCCTGCTGTTCGTCACCAAAATTTTTGGTGTTTGTGTATCAAGTTTTAAGTTCCACGTAGAAATGGCTTTTTGCAGAAATTTTAAACCTTCGATGATATACTCACTTTTTAATAAAATTAATGCCGCATTTATCGCTTCGTAGCATAACCTCGGATAAAGTCGAATTCTTCGTAAAATCAAACAAGAGAGACTAATATTGACTCGAAATCCCATTTCTCCTTTCATTCATCCCGGCCTTCTCAGTTGACACAAATACTTTTCCAACTAAAATAAATGTTGATACAACATTATCTGTGAAAATAGAACTTATTTATAGAAGTTATTTTTCTAGGGAATTTCAGCTGTGTTTACTTTAATTGGGAGAAGAGAATTAGTAAACATCAATCTGACAATAAACAAAACAGTCATGAAATCATGTGAAAGATAGATATTTTTGGCTATGCTAGGTGTGCTAATATAGGTCAGATGTTTCTGATAGGAAAATAGTTGGTATGTATATATCTATCCAAAGGTTTATTATTTCTTAATAAAACCCTTTTAACTGTTTAAAACGCGAAATGTATTAGTTAAAATTAGTATATCAGTACTATCTTTGTTGTATGTACCTGTCGAGATGAAAAAAATCGAGCATTGCTAGTTTTTTCCAACGACTTATTTTTTGGTTAATAGGTAGACGAACTGGATCAAGACGACACTCTTTCGTCTTGATCCAGTTAACATTTGAGAGACAAGGCTTTCGTCAAAGACTGTTAGAAACGGGTAGAAATGTAACTATAGAGAAAAATGTAAAACTAACTTACATTTACTTTTTCCTGGATACTTGTATCGCAATATCATTATGAAAAATGTTTCGTCGAAAGCCAATTCCGTTGGATTTCATAAGGACCTCGTAACACTTGACCTTAAGTTAATTAAATCGCGAACCAACGAACCGTGAGTTGTATACAACAGAAATGAGCCTCTCTAATTAACGTTACTACGTTGGGTCACATAATGAATACAATGTCACGTATCATATCTTCAATTATGGTAGCTTCAGCGCTTAGTTTGAATCTTTAATTATTCATTTTCATACGGCTTAGAAACATATTGAATTAAAGAAGACTGGGATGTAAATCAATTCTGCAATGGCCAATCATTTTTGGGCCAGTTATATCACTAATTATATTTAGTCTGTGATTTTTAAAGTGGGTACTTACTAAACTGTATATACATACCAACAGTTGTATCGATATATTATCTACACATACAGTTATCACATTATCTGTGGCACTGGTTTCATCGCTAATTAAATTAATTGACGCTTTTAAGCAGATACATTACGACGTAGTGAAAATTTAATGTACCAGCGAGTCGAGCTATTAACCTACAAGCTTCATTATACATAATTACTATCAGCGTACATCCGTCCTAAAAAAATACTGAGCATTTGACATAATCGGATTTAATAATAGATTGCTATGGAAATTTCGGTCTCGTTTTTATTCAATAGATTGGGATGAGCATCCGGGAGCTTTTAAATTATTTAAACTACCTGTATCAGCGACTTTGTCCGCATCGTTACCTAGGACATCGGTCGCGTCCCGTCGTTCTAGTGAGTCAATCTTTAAAAATATACCTACATATATTGTCACGGACATTTTTGAGATAATTAAAAGAGAAATCATTTTCATACATATTGGGGAATTGGAACGGAACCCACAAAATGAATAATATCCCCGTTTTTTCAATAGACAAACTCTTCAGCTTTATAATATTTACTGTTCAAATGAGTCAAACGCTTACGAAAAGTTCGTTGCGGTGGCAGTAAAGAAAACAGACAAACGAAGAATGTCGTCCAACCTGCCTTTCGTGAGGAAGGGACGATCTGGCACCGGTTCACCTTTAGTGGTCGAACTTGGAAGTGCCCGCGGTTAGCCAACCGCGGAAGATAAAGTGCATTCGGTTCAAGGTGGGGTCACAACCACCACGTTATTGGCATCTGGAAACAGCTCCAGACTTCGTTAATTTTTTTCAATTAGACGTCGTTACTTTTTGTAGCTACAATTAGGGCTTGAGAGTTTTGGTATTTTTAAATATTACGCGAGAAACATTGCTAAAGATTATTATATGGAATTACATATATTGTGGCCTGGCTGACCCGGCGTTTTGTGATTTCGCAACATTAATATTATTATTTTGATACAACTCTAACAAATAATTGGTGATAATGTGTTAATCTTAGAAGTTAGTTATAACCTTAGCGATAGTACACGATGTAGCGAACAATGTTTCAAGTCATTTAAAGAGGAGTCATTCTTTCGTAATTAAAATTTGAAAAAATTTTCGCTGTGCACGACTTGAACCGGCCTGTCAGCTTTCCGTGCTGTTGCTCTACCAATTGGAACGAGTACGGATTTTTTCAATTGATTTTCGATTTTTAAATTATATAGTGCCTTCATGGGGAAAAAAAAAAAAAAAAAAAATTTTTTTTTTTTTTTTTTTTTTTTTTTTTTTAAAAAAAAAAAAAAAAAAAAAGGGGTCCCCAAGGGGATTTTTTTTTGCCCCTTAAGATTTTTTTTCGTTCCTATTGGCCGCAGAGTGATGTTA